GAGATAACATCAGGCGTGCATCTCTTCTAGCAAACTTAGCCAGGTCTCGTAATAACCCTGCCTGTTTCCTCTCCCTAGATATTCGGAAAGCATTCGATATAGTCTCATGGCCATACCTCAACTATATTTTGCATCGTTGGGGTTTTGGCCCACACTTCTTAACCTGGATCTTTTCGCTGTATCGAGAACCTTCGGCCAGAATTAGGTATCTGGGGCACAGATCAGCTCAGTTCCCGATTTCCAGAGGCACGAGACAGGGCTGTCCTCTGTCCCCCCTGCTCTTTGCCCTGGCTATAGAGCCCCTGGCCCTCTTAATCAGAGCTAACCCGGATGTTAAGGGACTCGAAATAGGGGACACGCATCATAACTTATGTCTCTTTGCGGATGACGTCTTGCTCTTTCTCACATCCCCATTAACTTCCTCCCCTTCCTTACTCCGGCTCCTCGAGACATTTTGCGTGCTTTCGGGTCTAATAATAAACCCTAATAAATCAACAGCACTCAACATTTCTCTCCCCCCTATAGAGATGACGCACACTTGCAGCAGATTTTACCATTCCCATGGTCACAGTGTCATATCCCTTTCTTGGGAATCAAACTGACTCCTAGGTTATCAGACCTTTACGCAGCTAATTATCTTCCGATGCTTAACCACCTTTCAGCCCTTCTGACCAAATGGTCTTCCCTTCCCCTCGCATGGCTCGGCAGAATTGCAGTTATCAAGATGTCAATCCTCCCAAAAATTCTATATCTGTTTAGAGTCCTCCCTATCCCAGTACCCCCCTCATTACCTCCGCACACTGCAGCGTCGCATCTTTTCCTATGTATGGGGCAATACTCGTCCTCGTATACCTCGCTCCACCCTCTATCGCCCTAAGCTCAGTGGAGGTCTGGGCCTACCTGATATCAGCAAATATTATCAGGCAGCGCATTTAGCCCAGTTACCTAAATACCATGCAACTTTTGAAATCCCTTAATGGGTTGCGCTTGAATCGATAGAATGTGACCCCTTATCTACAGCTAACTTAATCTTTTTGAGGCCAATAGACCGCCGCTCTATAACCAACCCCATCACTTCTCACTTTCTATCCTTATGGGACAAACTGAAAACCCGTTATCTCCTCCAATCACCACATAATCCTATGCTCTCGTTCCTGCGAAACCCAGCTTTCCCCCCAGCCTGGCAGACACCCCTTTTATTTAAAGCCTGGTCCTCTGCTAATTTACTCCGTACACATCATTTCCTACAGAGAAATACATTTAAATCCTTTGCCTCGCTGCGGGAAACACATAGCCTCCCAGATATTCCGATACTTGCAGCTACAACACTTTTTACGCCCCCTATACCACAATAACCAATCGGCCAGACACCATGTCTCTCTTTGAACGAGCATGCTACAAAGACCCTCATAGACGTGGGCTTATCTCCTGCTTATATTCACTCTTGACTACTTCGATTACCACGTCCCCCCTATGTATACCCATAAAGTGGGAAGCGGATTTAGGTAAGGAATTTGACCCGTCTGAATGGGACCGCATTTGGGCCAACACAAAATCATCCTCACAGAACATTGTAGCATTGGAAACGAATTATAAAGTCTTAACCCGCTGGTACTTAGTCCCGGTGAGAAAAGCAAAATGTACCCCTAATTACTCGCCCAACTGTTTTAGAGGCTGTACGGACCCAGGGACACATTACCATATGTGGTGGGACTGTCCAATAGCCCGAATCTTTTGGGGTGAAATCTTCACCATGATATCCACACTTAGCACTATCACCCTACAACCTGACCCAACAACAGCCCTACTCAATCAATGCCCCCCTGGCATCTCCAATTCACAATTTAAGCTCATCATGCAAGTTACGACGGTGGCTAAGCAGGTTATAGCAAAATCTTGGAAATTCCCCATCTTGAGTATCGCGGCTGTCAAAACTAGAATAACACAAGCCATGATACATGCAAAGGTGGAAGCCACAATTCTTGACACAATTCCTAAATTCTTGCGCATATGGAGCCCCTGGGTAGAGCTCTTCCTCCCTCCTAACTTTGACGAATCACTCCTTCTCCCCTGATTTGTATACTATGCGCTATGGATATAATAAATAGCCCTTTGTACGTAGCACGCAGGGGCTGTTGTAAACTTGTTGAACGCTCATGGAGTCATGGTTGCTGTTCCTCTTCCCCTTTCCCCCCTTCCACCCCTGTCCGACCCCCCCTTCAAACTTCCCCCTATTTCTTTAATGCACTTGGGAGACATTACTTTGATTTGCTGGAACAATAATGTCTTTTATTGTCAACTTTTATCTACCTGTTTCTGCTAGTAATATATAGACATTTGTACTGTGACTCTCATTCATTTTTTTATGTCCTATTGCCACTTCCATGTCCAGTGTACATTTGCAATGTCTCTTTGTTTGTTCCATTCTGCTTTATTGTTAATAAAATTGTTTGAACAAGAAATAAGAAAAAAGAAGAAGAAAGAAAAATGATGAAATGAAAAAAATGATGAAAAAATGAAAAAAATGAATGAAATGAAAAATGACATTAATAAAAGATTTTTGAACAGTTGAAATTCGAAGAAGCTATGTGAAAAAAGTTGATGGGGGTAATAAGAATACAGAATAAAAAAGGAAATAGAGCTAAAAAAATAAAAATATTAAAGAATTAAGAAATTAAAAAAATAAAAAATGTATAGTGGTATATATATATGTTGTACGATTAAAATGAAATTATTAAATTTACAAAATTCGATAAAAAAAAAAAAAATTGATAAAAAAAAATTATTATATTCTGGGAGATTAGTGGGGTAAAAGGTTCACCTTGCAGCACTGGTACATCAATTATGTAACAGTAGTGAGCAGATATGTAGTGGTAATACAGCATGATTGCAAGGTGGGATATGGTTATGGCTCTACAGGAGCTTCATAATAATTATAACATATATACATGTTGCTAGCGGGTATATTGACAATGGGTGTTAACATGGTAGGATGATAAACATATTGGTAATAGTACATGCAAATGACATTATAAAGAGTAAATTAAGAAAAATAGTAAAAAATAGAATAAAATATAAATAATGAACAAAAGGTTATAAATAATAAACTAAAAATTGGATTAAAAAATTAAAGAATAAAAAAAAAAAATTTCGATAAAAAAATTCAATTAAAAAAAAAAAAGGAAAGTATCATTGTGAGTGTTGAGTGGCTATGAACGGGAGATTGTAGTGTTTATAGTATAGTGTTAATGTCTAATTCCTCATTGAGTCCACTGGGGTCAATGGGGACAATGTATCTAATGTAAATATCCAATAAGTTTCTTGTGAACAGAAAAACTCTGTTCACAAGAAACTTCTTGGATATTTACATTAGATACATTGTCCCCAGGTGGACCCAACGAGGAATTAGACATTAACACTATACTATAAACACTACAATCTCCCATTCATAGCCACTCAACACTCACAAGGATACTTAAATAATATAAATAATGAACCTTTTGTTCATTATTTATATTTTATTCTATTTTTTACAATGTAATTTACGCTTTATAATGTCATTTGCATGTACTATTACCAATATGTTTATCATCCTACCATGTTAACACCCATTGTCAATATACCCGCTAGCAACATGTATATATGTTATAATTATTATGACGCTCCTGTAGAGCCATAACCATATCCCACCTTGCAATCATGCTGTATTACCACTAAATATCTGCTCACTACTGTTACATAATTGGGTGTGCCAGTGCTGCAAGGTGAACCTTTTACCCTACTAATCTCCCAGAATATAATTTTTTTTTTCTCAAATATTTTTATCAAAATTTTTTTTTTCTCAAATTTTGTAAATTTAATAATTTAATTTTAATCTTATAACATATATACCACTATACATTTTTTTATTTCTTAATTCTTAAATTTTTTTATTTTTTTTAGCTCTGTTTCCTTTTTTAGTCTGTATTCTTATTACCCCCATCAACTTTTTTCACATAGCTTCTTCGATTTTCAACTGTTCAAAAATCTTTTATTAATGTCATTTTTCATTTCATTCATTTTTTCTTTTTTTTTTCATCATTTTTTTCATTTCATCATTTTTCTTTCTTCTTCTTTTTTCTTATTTATTACATCCTCTCTTTTTTCCATTTGGTTTCCTTTATCCCCCCATTTAACATCCATGACTTTACACTATTCACCTTACAGCAATGGTCAATCACTGGTTAATTGGTCAATTGATCAATTAGACTCACGTTCCCTATATATTCACCCCTGTTCATCCACCTCCCCCTGCTTGAAAAAGGAGTGCACTTCCGCCTTCCACGGGCCAGCGCATGCTTCGAAACGCGTACCCTGGGATCTGACGTCATCACGGCCACGCCGCCGCTGCGTTCCAGCGCACGTTCCATCCGGCTCTGAGGGAGGACGTGCACGCTGGCTGGCCTCACCGCTGTTCCCCTCCAGCCACCACGCTGTTCCAGCCAAGAGCTGACCTCCCCCACATCGCAGTAAGATGACGGCTCTTCACCTGGGTTACCACCCCACCGTTAACTATTGTTAACCACGGTTTTTTAAGCTTATGATTACTTCACACATGTGAGTGTTTCTACATTTAGACTTGAATAAAAAGACTTATTGCACTTAGAGGTGCTTCTCTTCTTTTCTCAATCTTGTAATAAAGACCATTCATAGCTGCTCTCCTCCTCATGCAGGGTGACTGGTATCTGCCCCTTCTGTAGTTTTCTGCAGACAGTCTGTACTGGGTGAATCTGCTGGTCCCCTCCCACATCTCTGCTCAGGTTATGTACATTGCAATAATGTCACCACTACTTTTACATTTTAAAAACTAGGTTTCTAACGGCGTCTATTGCACACAAATCAGATTTATATTCCTTCTAGCTATTGAGAAATATATTTATATGAAACCATTTGTGCACAAGAGTTAAGCATTTAGCCAAAAAAATGAATTATATAGATGCACTTATTCTTAGGTTACCCACCTCTGCTGAGACAGCTTGTAATTTTCCTCCTGCAGGTTTTGAAGATCCCCCTTTAGTCTGGCTAATAATTCTTGGGCATCTTGACATTCAGCTCGTGATACCACCAACTGTGTCCTTAGAGATTTCACTTCTTCTTGTACTTGACTCAATAACTCTTCTTTATTTAACAGCTGGAAAGCACAAGAGAATGTTATGCTAGTTTGGTTTTACAAATAAAACACCGTACAGATGACTTACCAAGGAATGGTTTACAATAAATCTCATGCCTATCCAGTATAAATAAGCTCATTTCATTTATATTCTATATCTACAGATCTCAAAGAAACAAAAAAAAGAATAGTATCAAAAGATAGCATGTAACCCATAAAATAGGATTAGTTTTTTTTAACTTCCCATAAAAATCATTTCCTTGGAGTACATTAGGGACAGAGTATAAAGTAATTCAGGTACTTTGGATTATGCTGCTGCTTTCAGGAGACCAGACACTTGCCAATCAAAGCTGTGCAGACATGCCAATATAACTACTTCCACGTCCACCAAACCTCAGTTTTGTAGCAACCAATGATAGAAGTGCCTCATACGAAAACTGCCACCAACATAAACCATATGTTAGCCGGAAACATGCGTACATCTGATCCAGTGGGGCAAAAAAGTATTTAGTCAGCCACCAATTGTGCAAGTTCTCCCACTTAAAAAGATGAGAGAGGCCTGTAATTAGCATCATAGGTAGACCTCAACTATGAGAAACAAAATGAGAAAAAAAAATCCAGACAATCACATTGGCTGATTTGGAAAGAATTTATTTGCAAATTATGGTGGAAAATAAGTATTTGGTCAATATCAAAAGTTCATCTCAATACTTTGTTATATATCCTTTGTTGGCAATGACAGAGGTCAAACGTTTCCTGTACGTCTTCACAAGGTTGGCACACACTGTTGCTGGTATGTTGGCCCATTCCTCCATGCAGATCTCCTCTAGAGCAGTGATGTTTTGGGGCTGTCGCTGGGCAACACGGACTTTCAACTCCCTCCAAAGGTTTTCTATGGGGTTGAGATCTGGAGACTGGCTAGGCCACACCAGGACCTTGAAATGCTTCTTACGAAGCCACTCCTTCGTTGCCCGGGTGGTATGTTTGGGATCATTATCTTGTTGGAAGACCCAGCCACGTTTTATCTTCAATGCCCTTGCTGACGGAAGGAGGTTTGCACTCAAAATCTCACGATACATGGCCCCATTCATTCTGTCCTGTACATGGATCAGTCGTCCTGGTCCCTTTGCAGAGAAACAGCCCCAAAGCATGATGTTGCGACCCCCATGCTTCACAGTAGGTATGGTGTTCTTTGGATGCAACTCAGCATTCTCTCTCCTCCAAACACGACGAGTTGTGTTTCTACCAAACAGTTCTATTTTGGTTTCATCTGACCATATGACATTCTCCCAATCCTCTTCTGGATCATCCAAATGCTCTCTAGCAAACTTCAGACGGGCCCGGACATGTACTGGCTTAAGCAGGGGGACACGTCTGGCACTGCAGGATCTGAGTCCCTGGCGGCGTAGTGTGTTACTGATGGTAGCCTTTGTTACGTTGGTCCCAGCTCTCTGCAGGTCATTCACTAGGTCCCCCCGTGTGGTCCTGGGATTTTTGCTCACCGTTCTTGTGATCATTTTGACCCCACGGGGTGAGATCTTGCGTGGAGCCCCAGATCGAGGGAGATTATCAGTGGTCTTGTATGTCTTCCATTTTCTAATTATTGCTCCCACAGTTGATTTGTTCACACCAAGCTGCTTGCCTATTGCAGATTCAGTCTTCCCAGCCTGGTGCAGGTCTACAATTTTGTTTCTGGTGTCCTTCGACAGCTCTTTGGTCTTCACCATAGTGGAGTTTGGAGTGTGACTGTTTGAACTTGTTATCAGTATAAAAGACACCTGTCCACAACCTCAAACAGGTGCCATTGATACAGGTAATGAGTGCAGGACAGAGGAGCCTCTTAAAGAAGAAGGTACAGGTCTGTGAGAACCAGAAATCTTGCTTGTTTGTAGGTTACCAAATACTTATTTTCCACCATAATTTGCAAATAAATTATTTCCAAATCAGCCAATGTGATTGTCTGGATTTTTTTTTCTCATTTTATCTCTCATAGTTGAGGTCTACCTATGATGCCAATTACAGGCCTCTCTCATCTTTTTAAGTAGAAGAACTTGCACAATTGGTGGCTGACTAAATACTTTTTTGCCCCACTGTATGTTGATTTTCGGCTGTCAGGTGGATACCATCGGCTGCTGTATAGTCATCGATCGCTTCCACATAACCCGGGAACATTCACCCACCCCAGCTCACCCGAGAAACCACCGGGTAGGGGGGAGGGAGACAAGGAATGTCCATTAGCTGAGATGCTCTACCTGTAAATTGCCACTTCTGGTTTCTGTTGAGTTTCACTAGCATAAATACAGGGTATTAAAGAGAACCTCTCCCAACAAAATAGTATCAAATAGGGGACTTTTCCTCTATGTGATAAAAAAAAAAAAAAGTTTATTGTAAAGAAAAAATAGTTCTAGTTTGATTCAGTTCTTCTCTCCTCTCTTCCATCACAAGCTTCACTGCTGCTGTCAATCAAATCCTGTGAGGAAGGAGCAGCGGGCAAAGCAGAGCCACGCTGGGTGTGTATGGATGCACACAGCTCAGCTTGTGAGCTTGCCTGCACGTATGCCCCCAGAGCAAGCAGCTTGCTATGAGGACATAAGGAGAAGAGGAAGAGCAGAGAGCACTGGCAGGGGACCCCAGAAGGGGAGGTTCGGGGCTGCTCTATGCAAAACCATTGCACAGAGCAGGTATGCATAACATGTTGTAAGTTTAAGACAAAAAAATCCTTTACAACCGCTTTGAAATAAGTATTGTGCACTTGAATATTACTTACATATTTACTGTGAACTTTTATTAAATTTTTGTCAAAGTACTGGAATGCCAATGGCTCAATCAGTGTGCACCAAAACGCTACACTAGTAGCGGGTGGTATAATATTTTCTATCAGTGTCTTTGCTGCAACGATAGTGCTTACCAGCCTACTTCTGACTAGTTACTAATAGCAGCAGTAATTAATTCCTTTTTTTTTTTTGGTTAGATGAAAGATTAAAAAATAGTGACTGCAGAAGCTGTTTCTGGTTGGTGCTAAAGTCTCATGAATGAATTTACATTTTCCAAGCATACAACAAATATTGCAAAATTTACTATTACCATGTGTTTGATTTTCAACATTTCTTGTTGCTGAAATACTTCAAGGTCATCCAAATCTTCTGTTTTTTGGAAAGAGGCAATACTCTTATTTTTCATGATATCTATTTGACTGGACAGCCAATTCTTTTCCTTGAATAAGAAACAATATCATATAGTTGATCAACTGGCCACTTCTAACAGTGCCAAGCACACCATTACATTCCCTTCTTTCCAGTAATACCTAGCCACCAAGCCACATGCAAAATTATAGGGTTACAAACTGAAGCACTTAGCCATGGATGGTTTTCTGCAATACACGGCCAGCTCAAATATTGGCAAGTCCACTATATATTTAAAAAAAAAAGAAAAAGGACACTACGCTTCTGGTGCATGATGATGTGCCGTAGTGAAGTTCTGCCCCACGTGTTTTGTCAGAGATGACGGCTTTGGTTGCTCTTGGAGTGTACCTTTGGATTTGATTTACATACAAGTACATGCCATATATGACCTTTCTAAAATCAGAGGGTCATATGGTTCTGGTAAGCCTCACTGGCACATTGTCATCATTGTTTGGGTGGACTTTGCATAAAGCTGGAGAGTACAAAATCAGGTTCACGTCTGCATAGAAACCAATCAGCTTCTAAACTCAGCTTATTCATTTAAGCTTTGGCAATAAAACCTGGAAGCTGATTTCTATACAGAAGTGAGCCTGATTTTGCACTCTCTATTAAATAAACCCGTTTGTTTTGGGATATTATGCATGTTGGCGTTTTTATCTGTGTTTATCTTTTGACTGTAGCACATTTTTTCTATTGATTTTTTATGCTATGGATAATATCGCCTAGTGTGCTTGCAGCTTTTCTCACACATTTTATTAGGTTGATTACCATAAATATGGTCGTCAGGGCTCTGTCCACAGCAGAGGTACTCGGAGACCTGGCATTCCTACCAGCACTTTGCATGGCCGCAAAAATGCACACTGGAGCACATCAATGTGTATTACCATAGACATGCGCGCTGCCACACAGGCATGCGCACGGATTCACGTTGGAATATGTATGCGCACTGGCGCACAGCTACGCACGCCATCAGCTCAGTTTGGCACCAGAAGGCGTTTATAAGGAAGCCAATCACTCTCTCCAATTGCTAGTTGATCTCTGGCTCCCCAGTACATTTGTTCTGCATTTCCTTGCTGTGATCTCCTGTTACCAACTTGGCTTGTTCCAGAACCTATCTTCTCTGCCGTCTTCTGACTTGACCTCAGCTTGGCTAACAGATCTTCTCGCTTGCTCACATGTGTATGACCCCGGCTATCCATCTGACTAAGTCTGCTCAAATTTCCACCTGGCACCTGACCCTGGCTCTGAACCAGCTTCTCTTCTGTCCTCTGCTACACTGAAGACCTGCCATCTCTCACGGACGTCACTTTTCCGCATACACCACTCTAGTGCATTAGCTGTGCTCCTGGGTGTACCTCTGACAAGCATCCTCAGTCAGATCATCTCTACAAGCACTTCTGCAGGGGACCTATGCTACTTTGGGCCTGAGACATTCTGTTCCATCTTCAGGGGAGTCTGGAACTTGGCCGCAACGGAAGCCCTCCCTCCATTGGCCTCCAGCACCAGGTATATGATAACGGTTTCCAATTTTAGGTTTTGATTTTAAGATTTTTAAAGTCTAGAAAAAAATATAGAAAACCTAAAGAGGTTTCATTTCTATTAATTTATGGCTCTTTTTAGGCCTTGTTCTTATGGGTGAAGAGTATACCTGTGTGAAGGACTGTGTTTTGCCCACACGAAATGAACAGATGTCCTTGAACATCTGTGCATCCTGTGCTGCCAAACATGGTCCTTCACTCGGGTTTACGCTTAAGTACACCCATATGAATGAGGCCTTGCACTTTTCTTGAAGTGTCAAAGACATATTATAAGGTCATCCTGCACTTCTTGAGGCCATGATTGATTAGGCCTTCATTGGATACATTTCCCAATTTTCAGTAACATGGTTTCCTTTTATAATGACGTTTCATATCACATGTGGCAAAGATTTACTGCTTCCTGCTGCCTCCTCTGCCCACTTTATTCCATAATGCATACAAATACAAAATAGAAATTAAATCCCGTCAAGGAAAAATTCTACAAGCACAATAATGATTCCATCCATTGACAGGCAAATTTGCTAGTTACCTCTTCGAGACTCGCAATCTTTGTCAGCCACTCCTTAAAATAAATAAATAGATTAAAAAAAAAACAAAAAAAAAAAAAAAACAACAGGTCAGAACAGGCACTATATTTACATATTTGCATTTTAGATAATCCCAACTAGCATTTTTTTGTCAATTTATAGTGTCAGAGTGCAACCTGAATGTGATGCATGAGAAGAGGTGGGGCTTGGGAAAGAGATGTGGGAGTTTATAGTGGCAGTAGATCATTGGACTGAATTCAGGCAGAAATGGAGCTGAGCAGCAGGGGAAGAGAATATGGGCGTTACGTGGTCAAAGACCTGGGAGGGAAAAAAAAAAAAGGCGGAAGAGTGGGATCTGACTCTGAAGTGGGGATAGAGGTGGCTGAGCATGAGCAGATCATGGTCAATTTGGAAAATATTTAAAATGGGAGCTCAGCAAAATCAAAGGGCAATATGATCAGGAATAAGTGAAGGACAGCATTGGAACTGATCGTAGAGATGGGAGAGATAATGCAAAGTGGCAGGTAATTGGTGCCAAGTTATAGAGCAGGAAAGTTGAGTGGAAATAGATGTTATACTATGAAAAGATACAGGGCAGGATTTGGTCATTTATCAAACGGAGGCAAGTTGGTATCTGTCTGTGGACCGGAAGTTAAGGAGGTAGAGTACGAGCCAATTATAGCTGTAAGGAGTAGAACTGGCTGGTAAGGGGTAGTGTTTAACACAACCAAACTCATATATTTATGAAATGTCAGTTCACATTTAATATATGTTTTAAGGTTTGTCACCACTAGCGATGTGCCAAATGTACAAAGTATATGGAAGCCAAATCCGAAACCCATTCAAGATAAAAGGAGCCAAATCTTAGAAGACAGTAATGACCATTTTCTGTTCTATTATGTAAGGGACTGTCACACAAATTACATGGGGAGCTGGGCACTGGCCATTATTGCCATATACTGGCATTTATTTTAATGATAATTTGGTGAAATGTGAGAGAGCAATATTACTTTAAATACATGCCTAGAGGATGCCCTTGACCTACCTGTGAAGTGGTGCATCTATATGATGTATACACTAACACCTACTACAACAAAAAGACATTTACACAAAGAAAAGTAAAAAGCCATTTGAACTGTTAGTAAATGACAGCCCTCCCCCCCCCCTGCTGATTTGTTCTGTTTGTAATCAAAGTGGCTAGGGAATCCCTTCATCTAAACCAGACCTTTATGCTAAATGAGGGTCTGCTATAGATGTTAATGGAAGTTCCCACACAAAAATAAATTAATAAAATGTATGTTCCTTCTTCAAATACCTTATTTTGCCCTCCTCAACATGGGGACCAGGTGCTTTGCAGAGGCCTTTTCTCCACAACTCTGGCCTGGAGGTTGACAGAAAGGGAACCAAAAGATACTGCCTCCCCCCCAATGTGAATGAGCAGTGTATATAGTACCCCTTACTCCATAACAAAAAAAAAAGTAAGACGGTAAATAAAAACTGCATTTCATCTACATACTTACCTGTAAAATCCATTTCTTGGAGTACATCATGGGACACAGAGCAGGCTATTCATGACCATGTGGGTTATAGGCCACCTATAGGTGAATAGATACTAGCCAACCAATCAGAGAGGAGGTCTTCCCCTATATAACCTATACAGGAAGTACATCAGTTTTTGTAGCAAGCAATGAAATTCCAGAAAGAGGGATGTGACCTCTGTGTCCTGTGATGTACTCCAAGAAATGGATTTTACAGGCAAGTACGTAGAGAAAATCCAGTTTTCGTACATCATGGGACACAGAGCAGGCAATCCATGACTATGCAGGATGTCCTGAAGCAATAAAAAATTTGAGGGGAGGGGGACACCATGATAGCCACCATCAATAATCCTTCAGGACTTACTCTGCCATCTGTAAAACACTGTGGCCAAAGCCAGAATCCTCAGCAGCTCTGACATACACCTGGTAGAACCATGTAAATATGTGAACCGAAGACCATGTAAACGGCCTTGCAAACCTGGGCCGCTGACGCCTGATGGCGATTGCTCAAGATTCCCCCACACTCTTGGTAGTGAGCACCTTCACCAGAAAGGGTGGGACTTTACCTTTCAAACCATAGGTTTGAATGAGCAATTAGCGGTCCAATGTGAAATAGTCACTTTGGATGCTGCCTGCCCCTTCCTAGGCCCCTCTGGCAGCATGAACACAGCATCTGACGACCTGACCTGTGCTGCCACCTTCAAGAAGGCCCTTACAGAGAGTACCACATTTAAGGTATGCAGAGATCACTCTCTTGCTGACAGAGGCTTAGGAAAGAACGAAGGCAAAATGATGTCCTGATTGAGATTAAAACCAGAATCCACCTTTGGTAAAAAGGATGGATGAAGTCACAACACGACCTTATGATGCCAAACTAGAAATGGTTCTCTGCAAGAATGAGCTGCCAGCTCCGACACCCTTCTCACAGAAGTGATTGCCACTAGAAACAACACCTTACAAGTAAACAGGACCAGTGGAATCTCTCTAATAGGCTCAAATGGTGTTTTTTAGAAAACCCCCAAAACCAAGGACACACAGGCAACCTGACTAGAGGAGCCATATGCATCACTCCTTGTAAAAAAAAAAAGCGTGGATCAAAGAGTGAGACACAATGGGCCTCTAGAAAAAAAATGCTCCTTAATGCGCCCTTAATGGTGCCAACAGCCAGTTTCCTCTGCAACCCTGCTTGCAGAAAGGACAGAACCCTAACAATCACATACTTTGAGTGCCATTTGTGAACCTCACACCAGGAAATGTAAGCCTTCCAGGTTCTGTAATAAATGTTCCTAGAAACTACAGAATGACAGAATCCAACACTCCTCTATCCATCAGGATCTGTGTTTCAATAGCCATGCCGTCAAATTTAGCAACCGTAGAGCTACACTACGTCCGTGTACCATGCCTCCTAATTATTAAAATTAAAAAAAAAAAAAAAAAAAGACTCCTCCCAAAGCCTGCGTAAACAACGTGGTAGCAGCTGGATCAGAAAAAAAAAGGGATAAATCAGTGAAAACTGGTTCCAAGGAATCACTATGGCATCTACTCCTGCCACGCGAGGGTCCCTTACCCTGGACACAAAAAGATTGACCTTGTTGTTGAATCTGGATGCCAATACAGGTGACACTCGAAAAATTAGAATATCGTGCAAAAGTTTATTTATTTCAGTAATGCAACTTAAAAGGTGAAACTAATATATGAGATAGACTCATTACATGCAAAGCAAGATAGTTCAAGCCGTGATTTGTCATAATTGTGATGATTATGGCTTACAGCTCATGAAAACCCCAAATCCACAATCTCAGAAAATTAGAATATTGTGAAAAGGTGCAATATTCTAGGCTCAAAGTGTCCCACTCTAATCAGCTAATTAAGCCATAACACCTGCAAAGGATTCCTGAGCCTTTAAATGGTCTCTCAGTCTTGTTCAGTAGGAATCACAATCATGGGAAAGACTGCTGACCTGACAGTTGTACAGAAAATCATCACTGACAGCCTCCATAAGGAGGGAAAGCCTCAAAAGGTAATTGCAAAAAGAAGTTGGATGTTCCTAAAGTGCTGTATCAAAGCACATTAATAGAAAGTGGCGCCGGATGCTGTAAACGCGGGACCCGCGGCTCCCGGGATCCCGGCTATATAAATCCCGCTAACTGCCTCCGGGTCCCCGCTCTACAGCCCTCGGGTGTCCCTTACCTTCTGGCAGTGGCCCCAGCATGGAGCGGTACCTTTTGCCGGCGCAGTCCGGCCACGAGTCGGCTGCTAGAGCGGAGGGGTGCGGCTCTCCCCCTCCTGCAGCCAAGATGGCCGACGATGCCTGTCACTCTATGGACACAGGCAAGGAGCGACATCACACTGGGGGAGCAGGTATAATGGAATCTCCCTCCAACCTCCTCACTGCCTCTCCACTCCCTTTAGGCACTGACTGCCTTAATGAGCAGTATAATATGATTGCACAGGCAGTGTCCTCTATATTGCTCCCTAATATCACTCAGGCTGTGGATAGAGCTGTCACAATGGGCATGGAACAGCTGAGAAAGGATTTATGTGATCATTCTAAACGATTGACTGAGGCTGAGCAGCGTTTATCTGATTTAGAAGATGAAGTCCATTCCATGCAAGCGGGTACATCACAATCCAATAGTATACAGCAAAATATTTTGGATAAAATCGACGATTTGGAAAATCGATCACGTAGGAATAACCTACGCATTGTAGGTCTTCCAGAATCTTTTAATACTGGATCTCTCCCCGATTTATGCTCAACACGGATCCCGGCGGCATTAGGCCTATCCTCCTCCTGCCAGGTCGAGAGAGCTCACCGCCTGGGGCCTCCGTCTACCGAGCGCCGAACGCCTCGCTCAGTGATTGTCCGCTATCTCAATTATGCTGACCGCGTGGCGATCCTCACCTCTTTCCGTAACTCACGCTCTTTGCAGATTGAGGGTCACAAATTACTGCTATTTGCGGACTACTCGCAGGAAGTGTCGCGTAAACGGAAAGCATTCCAACAAGTATGTGGCACTCTTTATCAGAAAGGAATAAAGTTCACATTGGCGTATCCGGCCACGTTACGGTTCACTGCACCATCTGGGGTCTCTAAATCTTTTGTCCATCCTGAAGAAGCCCACCAATATATCCGAGATCACCTAGCCGAAGGGGATCCGGCATCACAGCCAGCGGGTAGAAATTTTGGGCCCAGAGATCAACGCAGTCCCCGCAAAGACCCACCTAAACGTCAACGCATCATTCCATCGTCCTCTAAAGCTCGTCCGCCTTGAAGGTCTAGGAGGCCATTGGTCTCTACATTAAAGCTTCAAGCTTTTCTCTTGATTCGATTGGCTCTGATGAAAGAGCTTTCTATTGGTATTCTTATTTTTGAATGGTATTTTTTTTTTTTTTTTTTTTTGATACTGACTGACAGCTCACACGTTCTACAGTCTGAGTCTGTTCGATTGTTCAGCGCTAGATGTTCTATGTATTATTTGTTTGGCACAAGGCCT